TCCGTCTTCTTGGCGTGGCGCTTGCTCACCAGCAATACTGCTCGAAGCAGGACCAGGGGGAGCCGTATCAATCAATTAAGCCTCGAGAAGAGGCGGGATGGTCGCAAGTGCGCAATGGAAGATGACCGACTACGAAGAGACTACGGCAGTAGCATCTTCCAACACCGCGGTTGACTCTCGTCAATAATCGCATCCAGGATGAAGAGCTCCGTTCATCTGCATAGTGCCTAAATTGCCAGGTAATGGCCTAGATGGTCAGGCTATGTAATCGAAGGAGTCAGCGTAAATGTCTCAAGGGTCACGATGCGGCTGAGGAAGAGGTTCGACCAATACTGGGGGAAGATTCTCAGTGTGGATGGAGGGTCATGGTAAGACTTACTAGGATCTGTTATGGGCACGCCCATGATGCTCATCGCTATCATATCATCGTGTGAGTGACTGAATGGAGATGGATACTTGAGACAGACAGGGATCGTCAGCAAAAGGGAGGGGCAGAACGAGCTGAAGCTCTATCCTCAAACAGGAAGGCTCTTCCTTCATTTCCCCCAAGCGGAGTAGTGCATCCCTCACCTGTTTCCGTTCTCTCTTATTCAGAACCGACAAGGCATCATAATATCACAAATTAAGTTGGATATCGTCAGAAACGAGCCCTGGAACCAACACTCGGCGATTATTTGAGTGTGTTGTCGTTGGTTGAGAAGCGAACAAGCACAAGGTTGATCGTCCCGCAGTCTGTCGATGGGGGGCCAAGTGAACCGAACCATCCACAGAGCTTATCTACGCGCCGTGATGGGGCATCAGCTCTTGTCCTATTAGTCGAATCACAGTCATTCCGTGTTGTTTTCCTACAGGTTGAGATTCCGGACTGACTGGATCTAGATGAATAGACCAACTTGTTCTCAGCACTTGACAGGGAGAAGACATCATCGTCTGACAACTTCGTGACAAGGACGAACAAATGACGAAACTTGCTATTTCGCCGTTGCTCCGGCCGAATCGAATAGCACTACGGAGTACGTACTCTCTCGATTACATTCCGTCAGTCATTTCAGTGCTCGACATACTGGATCCAGGCTAGTGACACTCGAAAGGGCAGGGATATATATTGACAGTCAACCATAACCTGCACATGGCCAGTCCGCCTCAGATCGAGATTTGGAAAATGAGTGCGTGTACTGAGTACTTACACTTCCCCGAGTCTAGTCAGATGTAACGTCACAGCTGCTATCAAGCTTGGTTATGATATGGACCCATGAAAAGAAATACTTCGAAGCGGAGATTCCCGACGACGCCAGTCGAGCTATTTCCACGAGTTGGCCCATAGAACGACCAACTACTCTTTCGCTTTGGGATATTGTCCACAAAGAGATGCAAATTCTTTGTATGAGAGAGAGTAAGCAAATAATACTGTTAGTCTACCAAGACGCAGATCTGATGGCATCGTACTGGATCTGTATGGACGTAGTAGATGTGCCAGGTCATGGACCTCCTACTAGTCTCACAACTTGATGTTGGATGTAGTTCTGATTATGAGGCAGTGGCTCGAGTCTACTTTTAGGGAGGCTTAGTACCCAGGACGGGCTAGGATCCTTGACATGTACACGTAGCAAGTAGAAGTTGATACCTCTGTGATCCTATATCTCATCTCATAAGCAAAGTAATTCAGACCAAGCCACTGATCTGAGCAGAGCTCAAGCAAATCTAGCTATCCAGCAACAATATATCGAACGAGCGATCCAAATCACAAGCCAAACACCAGGATTTTCGAAATCCTCTGGCTGCTACCTTCCGAACCAAGCAAAGCGACCGAAACACAAACAGCAACCAGCAGGGCCCTTCCGTGCCGCACACTTCACCAGATAATGAAATTGGCTTTGACGATAGCATTAAGCTGAAATATCCTCGGGTCCATGTCGAGATGCCTGCCACCCGCATCGTTCTCGGCGTCCTTCCAGAATGCAGGCAAGGGCTGCTCGTTTCCTCGCCATTCGAGATCTGTCATTTGCAAGGGAGCAAAGCTGAGTCCAGCCTTCCTGGCTAATATTTCTGCTCTGCGACCTGCATCCTTCATTGCCGCTTGCGCAGCCTTGAATTCTAGAGACTGGCTCGCCTCATCGCTCAGTAGCCAATAAAGTTCCAAGATTTCGACGCCGTTATGGCCATTGAGCTTCTTCTCCACATCGCGCATAAAGTTCACATCTCCGAAGCCCATTCTGTACGTCGTCTGAGAGCGGTAGGTGCGCGCGCGTGCCGACCTCGGATTAGCTTTTGCAACACCAGTATCACTTTTCCATTCCGACCAGGTTCGGGTGGGTTCAAGAACATGAATTGACTGTGGTGGGAATGCCTGCATCAGGGTTTGAGCACAAGCCATTTCCTTCCTGATAACAGCTCTATTGGATTCGCCAGAGAGATTCGTTCCAAAAACAAGAACGGCCTCGTCAGCCTGTTGTTGGACAGTTGCGAAACCATACAGGCATAGGCGCCCTGCTATCATTTCATCCATGCTGATACGCAAATGGGTATCCGCGTGAGGTGCGTCCGTCTGGGTACTGTGTAACGAAAGTAACAACTGAGATAAAAATAGGGAAGATTATATGGCAGAGACGAGAAAATAGGGCATTAGAGAGAAGCCTCCGCCGGACGTGATGTCTCGAGAGACTGGAAGAAAATAAGTCGAAAAGTTTGGAAAGCTGGGGCGGTTTTGAGGTAGCAAATCCTGAGTCTGAACATTCCTTCCACGCCAGGCACGATGATGGCAAAGAGAAAGGAAGGAGGTGAGTCCTCCCATTCAGACTTGATGATGATTCCTTCCTCGCGCCTCAGCTCTTGACTGTCCTCGAGGAGACTTGGGATCCCATCATGATTGACGTTTATTTGTCCTAGTACGGCTGCTGCCAATTGCTGAGTGCAGCATTCAGAGTCGACTTGCTGAATCAATCGCCAACTGGAGCCTCTTCCACGATCCCAGGGCTCTGGTTGCTGCTGCTTTAGGCTGGAATTCTTCTTCGTGCATCCTTGTCAAATACTTCAAGAGATATCCAACCTTGAAATCCCGGTGAAACCATGCTGAGTGGTCAGCTTGATTTTCTCAGTCAGAGAATGCGAGGGATGCAATCCCAAAGACAGACTACTGATAGCTAGTTTGTGATGCATGATACGAGGAAAAGCTGTTCTTGGTGGCGCCGGACAACAAGCCAGCGATGGTGAGTTGGCCTGTTCATGTTCCAAGCAAAAGCATGGAAATATAACGCCGATACGGAAATTGCTTTCCAGTTGGTGTATGCATACTCGGGAACCTGGACGAACCCGCCACATTGAATGTTTCATTCATGAAGTCGTTGTCATTATTTCTGTTGCTTCTGAGCCAACGATCACGAGAAGAACAAGAGTAAGAAAATCCATGACCCAACACCATGCGCCATCGCTAATATCCATTTACGCCGTTCCAATGGACAGAGACATCGAGACATCGTCCTAACGCCAAAATATGGTCAACCGATACGAGTCAGGTGTCTCATCATCAGTTGAGATTTGTGATCAATCTCGAAAGTACCGGTTTTGGTCTCCTAGGTGGCCTTGGCATCTGCTCGAGTGTGCTTGAGTCCACAGGAACCACATTGGCCTGGAAGAGACTGTCTGATTGTATCGAATCTCGTGTCGAATCTGGCGAGGGTCCCAGAAATGACGGCGCTGGTGGCTGCAATAGTTGTGGCAATGGCGAGTCGTCGTTCAGATGTGGGACAGGCTGGTTGCGAAGCTGTGACGAAACTCTCACAGAAGCATTATCGACTGGCTGGAGCGGCGGTTGTCTCATCGCAGCGAGCTTCACGGCCGGTGGAATATCGATATCCCTGTACCTGGACGGGTCATAGACCGGTACGTGCAAAGTCTGATATGCTGGTGGTTGGTCATTGATATCGTCAGAGTGGGCACGGTAGATGGAGAGCGAAGATGAGGGTCGACCCGGCATGGTTGCAAGCTCAGCATCGTCTGCCTTCAGCCCTGCCTGGATATGATACGCGAGGAGTTGTTCTTCGCGCCGATGGATGCGATCCCATCTTCGTTTCTTATAGAGGAAGAAGAGTATGCCCGCGGTAACTGATACAGTCGTGTTAGCATCGAAACATGCCGAGGACCCTAATTTGCTAGGGAAAAGTCCTACTCGCAATGGCAGCAACGCCCCCAACGACCACTCCGATGATTATCGAAGTGACATTGTTGGAGCTCCCCGATCCTGAACCATCGGTTGGAGTCGACGAGGCGTGATCGGATTCAACGTGACCTGAATAGGTGGTATCACGCGAAAGGACCATACTGAACAATCGTTCTTCAGAAAAAAAGAAGCAATGGTTGTTCGATACCAATCACATATGCGAAACAATGAGAGGACCCTGATCCGCCTCGCCGGCCTCTCCATCAACGCTGTCAGACCACGCCTCTACGGTGAACGGACGAAAGAGAATATTTAAAACCCGTCATATTGATAAGCTCAGTTCTGACCACGGTCCTTCGTTTCAGAATCATGAGTTTAAAGTTATTTTGAGAATCAAGCAATGCGGGATTGCGGGTGTCATGGACAAAGATAGAAACCGAATCGGAGGACGCTCTGGGAGGATCACTTGCGCTTATCTTGTTTAGTTGATAGTTACAGACAAACGGAAAGCTGAAACGCATGTTGGAATCCTCCCTCGCCCAAAATAGCATCTAAAGAGGTGCTGATTCGGGGATCATTGGCTGAGAGAGTTCGGCGAGTCGGTTGTGCGCGCCCTGACCCCGTATCTCCGCGCTAAGACGAGGGGGAATTGCGATCTGACCCATCTTTCTGCAGATGAGCTGTTCAACCTCGAAGGGTCCTATCTTTGCTTCAGCTGCTGAAGCATATGGCTGCATTGTGAAATTACAAGGACTGACAAGTGATGAAATTAGGACAAGATGATGCATTTCTTCTATCACATTATTGACCGAACGAGTCTAATATGTATGCGCCGCCCTCCAGATTACTCTGCATAAGGTCGATAAACCGCCATTCCCTTTTCTGTCGAGAAGTCTAGGGCGACTCCCTGTCCGATAAAGTAGGTGTATCCTTCCTTCAGATCGAACCGCTTGTCGCCAGGAGCGTTCATTTGACCACAACCCTTTGTGACGATCATAAGACTCGGGCCTAAGATGGCCTTGTGCGTTTCCTTCTCACCCGGCCCCAAACAAGTCGCCAGGACGTTGAATTCGCTGAAGGGCGGGGCATACTCATCGGTTTTCCCATTCATGCCCTTGTCACTCTTTTTCCGTGGTAGGCACACCTCCTCTTTCGAGTGAGGTTTGAACGTTAGCGCCCGCGAGAATAGATCCACACTGTCCCGAGCCGGCCTGGGACAGAATCCTGTGTTCAGGACGTTATCGGACCGTGCCATGCATTCCATGATGTCGCCGTGAAGATATGCGTGCAAACTATCCGCCGGCACACAGACTGCCTCACCGGGTCCGATGCTGAGATAGTTCATCAACAACGCAGCGACCAAATTGCCGTTGTCGTATTCCGAATACTGCTTGCGAAGCCTCCCCAGCATGCCCGGAATATAGCTGTGGGGGCCGAACTGGGACTCGGGAATGTTCTGAAGCTCATTGATCGTTTCGGCAACGACGACCGGAGAGACACTCAGCAGCGCCTTGCAAATCTGCCGCAGAAGCTCGTCATCGAACCTCTCGTGAGGCGGGACGAACCGTTCGAGCGGCTTCAGCTTCATGAGGGCCTCGATTTCTTTCAGTGGTTTGAAGCCGGCAAAGAGCTCAAAGTTAGATAGTGCAATTGCTATTTCGGGTTTGTGGTTGGGGTCGCCGAACTTCTTAGGATCGGCTGCGTTGAGCTTCTCGGCTAAGGCCTTGTCGGGGTGGATTTGAAGTGGAAGGGCTTTGGCGAAGGATAGGATCTGACTATGATTAGTGAAGGTCAGGAGGCCGTTTTTCTCGACAGGGTGTATACCTTGGGTAGAAAGGGAATCTCTGGCCCATATCGATCCAAAACGGCCTTTCCGATCAACTGCGGGTTTTTTTTGATGTAGTCAGCGAGCAACTCGCCCGTGGCGAGAACTTTGGACGGATTTGTCGGGTATGTGCCCATCCACATCTATCTCACGAGTTAACCATTATCAAGCAGCATGGCTACGTGATGAGGCGCCTCCTCACCTCAGAATATGTCTCCGTCTCCTTGATATCACCCGAGCCCGGTGATTTGGCCCAAAGCTGGGCAGCCAGTGCATCCTTGCCCTTTTTGCCCCAAGGGTCGTGCTGTTTTGATACGCCCGTTAGATTTCGAAGCTGTAATTCAAACTGGCGTAGACGAACCTTGCATTCACATTTGATTTGGACCACTGATTCTGCCATTGTGCCGGATGTATGGTGATAGGATTGAGGCGCAGTTGTGAGGGTTGTTGCTCCTGATCCTCAAGCGATCGATTTAGGAAGCAAATGGATATTAATCATGAGCGATGTAGAAAGCAACGAAGAAGATGGCCGGACTCTTGTGACAACGATAAGATGCAATGCGTGGGCATGGCGTCATTCCTGGTATACCCAGTGGAACAGGCGACAGAACAGGAAATTTGCAGATAAACCAGCTCCGCCCATAGCCTGATATCGCAGCGAGCTGGACCAGATGAATCGATGCGACTGTAAAGAGGTGAAGAAGGGATGCAAACCCGCCAATAGGAAATATGAGCGAGCGATTGAGGGTCTTCCATACGTTGCGTTGGAGTTTTCTGACGTCGACTGGTGATGGGAACTGACGTCAGGATATGAACACTCGACCTCGGGTACCTTACCTTTCTACTTGTTATGCATGTATGCAGTATGCATGTATGCATGTAATGCTCATTGGATTATTATCGTCAGCCATAGGTAGGATTAGGAATGAATATAGACGTGATAATTTGAGCTCTGTAGGTGTAGGGTATTGGTTTTGATACTTTTATTTACCACCTTAGTATGGAGACCCGGCGTGCGATTTACGGGGTAGTGTCCAACTGCCTATACCAAGTTATACAAGATGTACTGAGTTGATAAGAGGATAAGGGAGCAGGTACTGGATGCCAGAGTGTCATTACCATTATCATTGTTCTCTTAACACCATGAAGTTGCCAATATGTAAAGACGACGCCAATCCACCAACGCCTTGAAATATGCCGCTCGCGAAAGTCCATCACAGGCCAAAATGCATTTGAGACAAGCAGAACAAATGAAACCACATCATCCATAAATTTCCTCCGCATCAGGCACCATAGTCATAGTCATGCGTTTCGCAGAGACCCGTTTCTTCGCTGCAGACGCCGACGAACCACTCCTCCGAGAGTAGGAGCCGGAGTCCACCCGATCACAGCTGTGACTGAATCCCTCGTCCCAGTTTTCATCGTCCCCGGCTCGGAAACTACCCCCCGAAGAGACCGAGTACGCCCGCGACAGGCGAGAGCGAGCGAATTCCTCCTCGTACCGCGGGTGGGCAGGTATATACCGGAACCGCGACGACGACGACGATGGCGATGGCTCTGGCGTCGGCTCCAGAGATGAAGCGGGAGATGCAGATGGAGACGGCTCGTCGCGCCTGGCGATGTTGGTTCGAGTCGCCGCGGCTGCCTTTTCGGCGACTTCGCTGGGGTAATCCTGGCGGATGGGTCTGTAGGCGAACTGAGCCGGTCGCTCGACGAGGGGTTGGCGTTCGCTTGAGTCATAGTCTGAGATTGAGCTTTTGGATCTAGGCGTCAGACGCATTGAGAGACGCCGTGAGAAGGAGGTCGAGGTCGAGGTCGAGGTCAAGGTTCGGGTTGAGCTTGGGCGTGACTCGGTGGGTTGATGTGTGCGAGGCGCGTATTCCACTTCGTAGGCTGGCTTGCTCTTGCAGGTGCTCCGGCTCCTGCGGGTCGAGGAGGAAGATTGGTGAAGGGTGGAGGGAGTGCATTGTGTCCAGGAGCCGTCTGTTGGCGCGGAGATGGCTGCGTCGCCCCATCTGGTGTGTAGGGAATGTGGTTGCAGCTGCGATTGGGGCTTGGGCGAGTCGTGTTTGCGGAAGATGCTGAGGGGGCGGTTGACGATGTTGGCCATTTTGCTTATATTCAATGTCGCTTTGCTGTGGGTGTAGAGAGATGGCCCATGGTACGGAGTACTCCGGACTGATGCTGGGATCGGAGTATATACAGGTGACACTCGCAGCCCAAGCTGGGAGATCAGTCTGGGGGAGTTGAGGGACTCTGCAATGTCCAAGCACGAGGTCTCGAGAGACAAGGATAAGGCACAGATGATCTTGACGGATGACCACCATCAATCTATGCAATGCAGGACAAGGCCACACTTCAGTCACAAGCACCACCAGAGCAAGCCTGTGGACAAGCTTCGAGACTCTGTTGACCAAGACAACAACGGGTGTATATAAGCTTATCCATGCTGGATATCCAGTTAACGCTGCTTCTTTTTCTAATTATGTTTCATCATCCACTGACGCTCTGAAACAGCCACAAAGAGCTCAAGTTTGCATTAACCCGGCCGATCAAGTTGCCAACATTAGCAACAAGCAACACGCTCCATTGCCGCCAAAGAAAAGAGCGCGGCCGGACGCATTAGCGTCACTTAACAGGCATTGCAGCAGACTAACGTATCCATTCTTAGAAACTTATCCATGTAAGACACCCCGGAAAGTTCGGAATTAGTCTGTAATATGCAGTCAAGTACCATAATTAGTTTACTCTTGGAGGTTCGCTGGAATTGTGCCAAATTTAGCTCACTAGTGACAAGAGGACTGAAGTTGCAGTGCAGCAGCGAAGCGCCCAGTGAGACCTCCTCAGCACTACCAGGAGAAGATGAAACAGCTAATTATGCAGGATTCTGTTTGTAAATGAATTAATCAACTTATCCTGCATGCAACTGGTTTCGTCAGTGAGGATGATTGTCGACTCATGAGGGGTTATGGTTGCCAACTGGGTAACGTCGATTAGACACACCTACAGAGCAACCATGAACTGGAATAGGATATGTATGAGGCACATCTATGCATCGTCTGCTCTAATACAGATCAACGCTCCCTCTTGCTCATGGAATAATCAAGAACGCCGTTTCAAAATGCAGTGGTATAACCCGTGAACAGGTCAAATGACCTGAAAACCAACTCCGAGTCCTTTGCAAGGTCGCCGTGTATGTACTGTCTAATCGAGACTTCCCTGTCGCCAGAAACGCCTTTGCAGGCATCTGTGTAACCCAAATTCATGGTCTAGTACCCCAAGGAAACATCACATGCGAATGAGAGCCGTAAAAGGTCATCATGGTGAGACTTGGATTGCTGTTCGTGGTCTCACAAGCTGGACAAATGTTCGAAAAGGGAAATCGCAGAAAGTGCTTCGTAGACTGACCTCTGTCGCGTCTCTAAGTGGAGGTTTCCAATAATCCCCAATGGTATCATTATGGTGGGAAAGCAGTTCATTTATATTGTCCACCCTGGTTATGCATCAGCCGTAAGAGTGACGGGTTGACGACCCAGTCGAGGTCGAGCTCGCATGAACTGTAGGCGTCATCTGTAGTAAACTGCGTGGAGGCGACATTGTCTTTGAGGACAACAACGACATTCGGGTACTGGCATCGTCGGCAGAGTGTGCAGATGATGGCCAACGTGATGCGCCTACAGAGGAACTCATCACGGACGCTGCTGATGATAAGGACGGCCGAGTTCGGACAGGGCTCTGCTGACCATGCCATGATGCTGGCTGCTCATGGATTGAGGTTCCCCATGAGGCGCCCCGGAAAAGTATCGGTCGCTCTGGAGACGATAGATCCGTTTCGTCATAATCGGAGTCACTACAATATGTTCCGTCTCTGTTGACAGGCAGGTCACTCCGGCGGTCGTCGCTTCGATCTTGAATCTCTTGTCCAACTTTGGCTGAACGACCCGAGATGTGTGACTGTTCGGTGAAAAGTACGCTATGAGACCTCCTCACTTGCGCTGTGGATCGGCGGCCCGAATTGGGGCGCATTCGCTCTATTCGCTCCAGTCCATGATCGTATGAGCTCCTCCGGTTAAGCATGCGTCCGCGCCCTCCACTGCTATCGAGAGACTCGATTGAATACCCATTCAACCCGTGATACCTCAAGTCTATCTGGCTAGGACTGAAGGCGACTCGCGCGCGCATCCTCTGGATAGCCGAGTCTAATGCGAGCTCTATCGCACAGTGGTTCCTGATCCGTCCGAGTTTGGGCCAGGTTGCACGTTCTCCGCTGAGACACGCCTGAAGCATGAATTCAGTCGTCGGATTCTTGAGGATTCGAGGGAAATTTGCGTAGAGAATCTCCGGGTAAATATTGATATCTCCGTAGTATTTCTGGTTCATGATGGACGCCGCTTTGGTGAGGGAGGTGGGGAAGACACCAAGATCCGACAAGACCGTCAACCGGTGCAATATTTCTTCCTTGGCTAGATGCGTCACGGTGTGAAGCCAGCTAGGTGAGGATGACGTTTGCGTTGTCCCACAGCTGGGACCATCGTCCTTCGGAAGGAAAGGAACCACATGAGGATTCACCTGTGAGACGATGAAATGATTGACGTTGAACATCTCAGACAACCTGGTCATGGGCAAATCTCCATCCACCGAGCCATCAATGTACTGCCTGTGAAAATCAGTCCAAGGAACCGCTTCTCCGGTCAATGGATCCTTGGCCATCAGCACAAAGGGTGTGAAAACCAGCGGTACTGAGCAGGAAACAGCTCTATAGCAAGTCAGAACCAAACTTGGCCAAGATATTCAGGGTATGTTGGGCATCAGGATTAAAAAAAACTTACACAGCAGACCAAATCATCACGTTGGGTGCGGTGATGTAGTTCAACAACCTTGGAAGTTCGTACACTCCGGCACTGGAGACACAAATGTTCAGAATCCTCCTCGTCCTGTTGTATGCTTCCTGAAATGTAATGTCGCCAAGCCAGTTTCTCATGACTTTGGCAAGATGTGAAATGTCCAAAAAGGAGCCGTATTTGAGAAACCGCGCTGTTTTCTGCAAGATATTCTCCTCCTTTCCTTCCTCGTCAAAGACGGCAAAATCTCCGTAGGCATAAGTATCCAGAAGCGCTGGTAGCTCATCGTCCGTACGTGTGCAGAAAACGGCACAGACAATACTGCCTGCCGAGGCGCCGGAAATAATGCGGGGGAGCAGTTTTGCTTCCCACAGAGCCTTGAGCACTCCGATATGGTTCATTCCGAACGTGGCGCCTCCCGAGAATAGAAGAGCGCTTCGACCAAACGCCTGTCGCGCGGCGAGGAGTTGATCGAGCATATACTTCAACTCCAACCCATCACACTTCTTTCCAGACAGTTCCACCAACGTTGATATCGTGTCGAGCGCCGTCGTGATGTACCGGTCGATCAAGTCCTTCGTACCGACATGAGAATGCGTGTACAGAGCAACATTGCTCATATTTCCCAGATCGCGACTCAGCGAAGTGCGAATAAGAAAAAGCATCCGGCTGACGTCACAGCTGATGCGGGCTTCTTCCAGCTGTTTGAGACGCTCTTGCACAAGGCGAGGGTTGTATTCGGAACATTCGAACGTCTGTTTCCAGGTATTATTGTCCTCTAATTCATCCAGTTCGCAGGCGCAATTCCTCCACTCCTCGTACGAGACTGCCTAGACCCATGAATTTGGTTTAGCTGGGGACCGACAGCGGCAAGGGAAAGAGGAAGGCTAGCGACTTACATTACGTATTCTGAGGTACAGAACCTGCTTGCGATCTTCAGTATCTGTAAGCGCCTTCCTTTGCTCTCTGGAAGCTCCATCGCGATACGCATTCAGGGTATCTCCAGCCCAGGACAACGAGTTCCGCACCACCGACGGGAACGATGGGATGGAAATCGATTTTGGTAGAATATGGCGCCGCCGTGCCGAGTTCGATGAGATATTGAGCTGATTCCGGGATTTGACACTGCCGTGACATTTAGGTTGCACAATGGGCGAGTCATGAAAAAGCGACATGGTAGTAGGCGTCACGTCGAGGGCAAGCCATCCGTTTGGCGAATGTAGGAGGAACAGAGGGAAAGTTGACCAGAGCAAACCATGAAGATAGACTAGAAGGATGGGGAACAATCTCCTGCAGTCTTCATTCTATCTGTCAAGGTAGAAGCCCTTGGATATTAATAAAATAGATAAATGGAAGAGAGAATGAATGGAATAATCCGTTAATGAATGTACTCCGTAAGCGAATGCTCCTGCCCAGTAAGTCAGTAACAGTTCTCCATCAACCCCAGGAAATCTGCGTGGGGTTTGGCACTTGTCAGCAGTGATCCAGACGTCACGCGGACAGAGTTGGGCCTCAGGTGTGGAGTGGTGGCCCATCGCCACATGATGATGCCAGGTCCAGCAGACCCTCAGTCCATCCCTGTTTTGATGCTGCTCATCATCCTCATTTTCATCGTCTGAAGACTGGAGTAGAGTGCAGTACTTGTGTTATCTGATCTGCGGTTATCTTTTGTTCGCCCTTGATCGGTTACCTCTCATTATTGGTCAATAATCGCTGCAAATGACTCCAGATTTGAGTGGCTTCTGGGTAGATATTGCTTGGCATTTTCATATGCATGAGCCCTCTGATACGACGAGTGTCAAGCTAGAAAGAAGTTGCCGTTTTCGGAATCCATGAGACGCCAGCTGTTAACAGCCGTATGGACACCCGACGTCATTATTTAGCCACATAGGTCTCCCTGCGTGCCCGAGTCGTGATATTTCCTGTCTGGGAATACAAGCATGTGACAGGATCATCAACACGCCTATATACAATTGAGACCTCATCAGGGACTTGGATCCATTGAAATCGGAAGAGAATGACCGGAATCTTCATTCAACATCTAAATGGCTATCTATTGAGTGAAAAGATCTATTGAGTAGAGACAATTTACTATATCTTATAGCCTCCTAGCTCAGCGACCACCATCGCCAAGCAGTCATCTTATCGTACGAGGGATGTCGACGTACGAAATAGTCCCGTTGGAAATGACCGTCCTGTTGAGTAGTCTGCTCGAGCCTGTCCAAATTATTAGCCCATCACGTCTACTTCACCGTGACTCGAATTGGGTGCAAAAGACCTACCTCCATGAGTACTGAGGTACAGTCGATGATGGTCACCATGTTGACGTCCAAACTTCGCTGCCGTCGGCCCACCCACAGCTGTCGACATGTTACTGCCTCCAGGATAGACAACGCGGAGTTCGTTCAAGAGGCCCAGAGCAATATATGCCACACCGTTTTCGTCCAGAGTGAAATCATCAGATCCTGTCAGATTTGAAGCAATGATCTCGGATGCACCGCATGGCTTCCCGTCTTCGTCAATTTCAATTCTGGCCAAAAGACCAGCAGCATAGTTGGTCCAGTAAAGGTATCCTCTGAAGACCTTGATCCCATTGACACCGACGTTCTCTTGCGGATCTGTAACGTAGCTATACTTCATCAGAGGGTCATCGATAATCACATCATATTCTCCAGTCCGGACGTCAACCTTATAGACCCATCCATTGTAGGAATCGGCAACCAAAATGGCGTCTTCATTGAGCGTCGCGGCTCCGTTCACAAGCTGAGAGCCCTCGAGGTCGGTGAGCTTGGTCACTGTGGCATTCGAGAGCACCTCTCCTGTCCAGGACACCTTCAAAGTACTGAAATCGACTCTGAATATGTAATTGGTCGAGTTGGGTAACAACATCATAGTCTCGTCGTAGAGACCAGCCACAGCCACATAGAACTCGTCATATCTGGTCTCCGCGATTCCCAAGACACCATCATACTTGCCAGCACTGGCACCTTCGGCCCAGCTATGAATCACTATCGGCTGCAATCTCCCCTCGGGATCGACTTGCAAGATCCGCGGGTTGAGCAGTTCGGTGGCCAAAACTTCGCCTGAATGTCGGATGGCAAGATTTTCGATCCAGGAACTAGGTCCAAAATTGGCGAGTTGTTTCACTTTCAAACTCGGAGGCCGTTGACTGGCTGATCTGGCCGCAGTGGCAGCTGTGGAAGCAAGGCCGATAAGGGTGGAAACCAAAATAAATACACCAGAAACGAATATCATCATGTGAGAAGATAAATTTGCTCGTTGCTCTTCAGCTTGGAAATGTTTGAAGCGATACCATGAGGAAACTAAAGACGGTGCATCGAATGCGCGGGTTGTACGGTCTTATAATACCTTCGACGTTGCGCACAGAGTGCTTCCCTCTTCACCTATCAAGCCCTGAGCTTCAAAGAACGGTGTATGCAACTGCTCAATAATTTGAATCAATAGTGACTCACTTTGATTGCATTAAGCCTTTGCCAGGATGTCGGCGACCTGAATCGGTCAAGTTTGACAAGGCTTGGTGAGTGAACCGTTATGGAGCCATGCGGATCAGTCTCTTTAAGTTTGATGGCGCTTGAGATGAACTCCAAGCCTCCAACAGTTGATCTTGTGTTTTGATCCCAAAGCGGAGCAAGGACGGCGACTCGGCGAGGCAAGGGATCGTCGAGAGTTAGTGCTTACGCTTACGCGGCATCGCAAGAATAATGGCTTTCAGGCAAGCTTCCAACACTCGGAAGTACTCCTTGGACTTGTTTGTTAATTGCTTTAGGCCACCCAAGAACACACTGTAGCATGTAAGCTAATTATTATAGGCATATAGGCAGATTATTTGCTTGCAAGTCATTTCGCAGCCACGATTCTGTGGTGTCCTTGTTTGATGAGGACAAGCGTTCTGAATGCATGGCGAATCGAACACATTATGCCAGGCTGGGAAAGCGAGTCCTGCATCTGGTCTATATCAACAGGAGAAGAATACAATAGGTGGGGGCGTTGTGTGATGTTGTCAAAATCCAACCCGAGGGCCCATTGCTGTCTATTCGACTGCGCTGCGAGGTAGAAAGTTGGTATAAATGATCAGGAATGTCTCCCAATCGATCGTATTAGCCGTGGGCTTCGCTTGCACAATCAGGGAATGTGACGCAGCCAACTTCTCAGAGCTTCTCGCGCTTGAGATTCAACACCTTTCTCCCGCCAGAAGTGGCCGGCCCCGTCGATTTCGACGGACTGAAATTGACTTTGAGCCGCTTGAGAAAGATCACTGGCCCATTTGCGTAGCTTGTGGGCGGAAGTGAATGTGTCATGATTCCCGTAGATCGCCAGTGTTCTGTGTGAGCAGAGCTGGTCGGCTGGCTTCGGGCAGAGAACCTGTTTACTCTGTGTAGGGGTTTTTACTGCGAAGTCTGACGAGAGCTTCGAAAACAGTGTGAGAAATAGGTTGACAGGAGGCAGAAGAGGTGAAACGAGAAGGTATGAAATTGTTGTTCGAGTAATATCCTCAGCAGTCGTGCTGCCTTCTCTGGAAGCGAAATTGCTTGATGTCGACGGCAAGTCTGAGCCTCGAACACTCTTTACCGACAGAGCCGAGAGCTCCTTCGCAGATTGGCAAATTTGGTGAAATGATGTAGCGCTATTGCCCTCTGAAAACAAGCGCGCTACCACATCGACTGTTGGTAGATGTGAAGCGACCATCGACCCGTAGGAATAACCTCCTAGAATGAGATGAACATCTGCAGATGCGCCTTTGCAGTCATCAGCTGATTCGGCCGGTAGAGCAGAGCTCGAATCTTGGTCCCTGTCCCCCTGTCGCGTGTGACCTTCTTTCAACGAATGCAGGTAGTGGAGCATAAATCCGTAGAAGGAAACATAGTCCGCCAATTCAGGCTTTGCTGTCCAGCTCGTTCGACCTCCAGATCCACCAGCTCCGCTATTGACAGTGTCAATAAAATATCTTTGAAGCAATGACATGGAAAAGACATGGCCCATCCTGAAGACTCACCGAAAGTTGAAGGTGGCCACAACAAAACCGCATCTCAGGAGCTCCCCGCCAATAAAGCCCACAACCGGATCATCATAGCATCCTCCAAGAGGCGCATATGGATGGGCTACTATCGCGCCTCGTATGCGCCACTTGCGAGCACCATCCGACTGCTGCACCTCGAGAGGCAAATAGAGACGGCAGTCTAACTCAGTCCCGTCGTGAATCGAGGGGACGTTGAAGCTGTAAGTCGGGGCTGGAAGATGCATCTCAATGGACACCGGCTTGGTTTTACTTTTGTGTCCCTGCCCTTGCTAATAAGTACAAGCTATGTGGCAGTCTGTGGCGGTTGGCTTGTCAAGATAAAATGAATGTATATAGTTGGGACTAGTGTTGGGTTGGCGGAGGCGAGTCGGAAACTCGCTGTGCACGGTCTCTTTATCTATGTATGGCTCCAGAATCCAGAGGCTTCGTTGGTGATTGAGTCCAGCACCACAACCAGCTCCATCCTGAAAATACCGATGGCTAATTACTATGGCTGGAAATCATGGATTGAATGAACAATGATCGTCTTGATCAATCAGGCTACTATTGTGGATATCATGACTTCTACTAGCCAGCATCAGCAAAAGATCTATCAAAACTAACAGTTCATGCTATTTACGACAGAAATGCTATTATAGAATACGGATGTTTATCAGACTTAGTATTTAAGCTTCAGGGAGCAGCCAGGCGGGATCGGGCTCGTCATCCTCGTCATCCGACCTGAAATTCGCCTCTGGAGACCTGTGTTCTGCATCCCTGAGTAGATCAGCTGGAGGTTCGGGATTGTCCACCCCAAGAGGATCTGTCAGTGAATCGTGCTTATCGCTAGGAAGATGTGCATTTGTTGTTTCTCTTTCTGGGGCGGGCGATTTGTCCTCTGCAGCCGCATCGAAAGCGTCAAAAAGCATGTCTCGTGCTTCGCGCAGCGCCTCGAGCTCCGCTCCAATACAGCATGTGAGTAGCTTCCAATTCTTCTTCTCTGCAAGATTCAGATGCTGTTCCACACGATTGGTCGTTTGCTCCAGATCCTCTACAACAGATTGAACCTGATCACTTTCCCTATCAGCTTTCGAATGTCCACCTGGCTCAAGAAGTTGCGATTGTGTCTGGATCGACCTGCGCATCGCCGACCTGAGTCGCTTTTCAAAGCCTGAGACTTCCCCCACTACCTGCTTCCATACACCTCCACCTTCCTCAAGAGCCTGGATCTCAGCGTCTACCTCCTGTTGCTTCTTCCGTAAGTCGACTTGCTCTGTTGTCCAATGTTCATGGGCAATCTCAAGAGTGCGGCGCTTAGGATTGAGGGAGTAGAATGTTGAATGACTGCTGCTAAATAAGTCAGGCTTGACAGGAGGGTCTTTGAGGAATTTCTCGATGTCCGATTCCACAAGAGACAGAGAAGCTTTGTAAGAGGACAATTTGGATTCCATGGCATTCTCCATTTGTGCAAGTTCTCGAAGCACAAGCCGATGCCTTGCTTTCATTTCAAGTAGCCTGGTTTCCAACTCCCGAATCTCTGTCTCAAGCTGATGGCTCTCCTCAAGCAGCTCGTTTGAACGGTGGCTCTCGTCATTATCATGGATTGTTGATATGGCATTCTTCAAACCAGCTCGTTTGGTACTAAACTTGTCAATCTGTTCGAGAGCATCCGTCCGTTCGTCAAATCGAAAGCCGAGTATTTCGCGCTCCTCCTCTTTCAGTTTCAGCAAATCATAGATCGATTTGAATATCCCTTCCCGTGCTTCACGTAGCCCAATCTTCCTTGCGACAGGTTGTCGGACAGGTATCGTCGACGGGCTCTGCAAGCGACTCAGTTCGGTCGGAGTAAAGTTTTGGTTGGAGTTGGAGTCAGTATGAGGCGTTCCTGCGAGGCCTGCTAGGAGACCGTCACCCTGCGCGTCAATCAAGGCCTGTAGATTGCGTTGTATGTGTTTCGTCTGGCGGTCAATGTAGAGAAGGGGGTCTCGCTCAGACGTAGGCATTCTCAGAGGCAATGATAACAGATTCTGCTTCGCGTTCTTAGGAAATATGGCTGACATTTCAGAAAATAAAATATGATCATTTGGAGGTGTACCCTACACTCTCTGTGCGTTGTATTTAGAATCCGACTTAGCTAGACTTCAGAGGTAGAAAGGGGACATATAGCCTCCTGATGGTTGCCAAACCAGAAAGAAAGGAAACAAAAGAGGAACCTGAACACCGCAAAACGCCAGATAACGCAAGGACAGAATGATTATTGCGAAGGTGTCATGTTGGCAGTTTGGCTTTATGACTTTCCCTGACTGTTTTCCCATTCCATCATCAACTCACGTGACAAGTCTAGGGGGTTCTGCAGGAACCACGGGCGCCTTTCGTCAGCTTCAACCGTTGACGTGTGCCTCACTGCTGTCGGAAGCTTCCTAATCAACTCACAGCTTCCTTCTCTCATCTGCATCCTGCTTTCTGTTTATTTTTGATTTACTATCTTTCTGTAAATTTTGTATAACTCGGTATTTGCTCTCTTCCGAATGCTTTTGCCCTAGATTCGAGCTAATTCCATTGTTCTGAAGCTCCATCTCGAAGCTATCGCCTCATCTCTCGCGATAGCAAAGCCGACCCCTTCCATCAACTCCAAAAATCCGGTCTTGGAAGCAAGACATATCATTTAAAGATGGTCGGACTTGCTTCGGCCGCCGGTCTCGTTGGCTTTCTCTCTGAGCCCGATCCGGAGTTGAGGGTCTTCGCTTTGAAGACCCTCGATTCTCAAATCGACCTCCTCTGGACAGAAGTTGTTGACGCAGTGCCCCAAATGTTCGTCATTCCGTCTATTATCTGCATAGATTTGGATTTCCACATCATGATGTGGAAAATTTCTGCGGGAGAGCTTTGTCGCTAACCGACTCTTGACGTTTAGAGAGGCGTTATACGAAGATGAGTCTTTCCCGGAGCGGGAGCTCGCCGCTTTAGTTGCGGCGAAGGTTTACTATCACCTCCAAGAATACATCGAAAGTATGGTGTTCGCTCTCGGAGCTGGGAAACTGTTCAAGTTGGAGAACGGTGGCGAGTTCGAGGAGACAATCATTGGTAACTTTGGCATACTTCAACTGATATAGTCTTCGACTGACCTATGTTTTCTCAAGCCAAATGTGTCGATACGTTCATCTCGCTGTCTGCTGCCCAAAGACCCGCCGCAGGCGACCCGTCTGCCAACTTGAACACCTCATTCCCGACGTCGGGTGAA